CCTAGCTGTAACGGTACTCAAGTTATCGTGTTTACATACGGACAGACACACACACAGACACACACACACAGACATACGGACAAGATTGCAAAATTATGTTTTTCCGTATCAGTGAGGTGTAAAACGTCGAGATTTGTAAAAATCTCGATTTTTTTTTTGCACGACTACAATACTTTCTCTATACTACGTATATACGAGAAAGTAAAAATCGCTGTAGACTTGGCGAATACACGTCACGCAAAAGGTGTAATATCTTTTCATTATTTTAGATATTTGCATGTTATTAAAAAATAATTTAATAACAATTTTTTTATATTTGACACTTAGGCAAAATGGAGTTTTGCCATTGTCTTGAAGCTTAAAAATATTTCCTGGTCCGAGTTAGAGTAGTAATTAAATGCTATAAATTGGACGCTTTTGTATGTATCATCCAGAATTAATCAAATGCTATAAACTATACGTTTGGGTCTATACCATCCAGAATTAATTAAATGCTATAAACTACGCTTTGTTATATTATAATTCATTATTGATTTAATGCAATTATTTAAGAGTTTGGTTTTATATTTATATATGAATTTAATGCAATTATGTAGAGGTTTGAGTATATCATCGAGTATTAATTAAAGGCCATAATCTAAACGTTTGGGTATAAATTATCCAGTATTAATTTAATGCTATAATCTAGACGTATGGTATCATCCAGTATTAATTTAATGCTATAATCTAGACGTTTGGGTATAAATTATCCAGTATTAATTTAATGCTATAATCTAGACGTATGGTAAGTATCATCCAGTATTGCAATGGTGCTGACTAACCAACTGGTGTCTAGGACATAATATCCACCTGTCACACTCTGATTTTAACCCCCTGCCAGATCAATTACTTCCTGTCAGTTTTCACCATGATAATCTCCCTCCTATAGGGGACATCTATTACAGATGTTACCGGCAAAGTGCGAATACCTGTTATTGTAATAGAAGAATTGAAAAAAAATCCGAAAAAGTTCGTAAAAACATGGTACTTTGTATAGACAATCTATAGACACAAACTCAATGGCCTTATGATCAAATTGTAAGAGAACACAAAAGAGACGGGTTTCAAGAAAGCACACCAGAGAAGCCTCTGTTAGATCTGCTCATACCGACAGTGAAATGCTTAGGATCAGAAACAATATGTTATTGTTTTTGGTCAACACCAAAGCATCCATGTAATTTCGTTAAAGTATCTAAAATAGTTTCCATTTCCATTAAAATTACGATCACGTTTATTTATTATATTTATTTTATTGGAAAAAGAAAAACGTATTCATGTGTTATTATGTTCATTTAATTTTAAAATTATGTTTTTATTGAATGTATAACCGTCCAAGAATATTGTACTGTAAGCAGACAATTAAGTCTAAGTTATCAAAATAATGCAGCGTTATTTGTTCAAGATGCAATTTATGTTAAAAAGAATCCGAACATGAATTTAAAGCCCTAAAACGTTTCTATTTCTAAAATTAGAGTAGATAATGCTTGAGCTTTAAGTGCTTCTTCCCTTCATTCTAGCTGTCTTTACCGCTGATGTCCAGAAACCTCAAAAAATATCTATAAAATATTTTATGTGAGTTATAGCATATAGATCTGCAGCAACCAACATTGAATGAAAATTGAGGCAAACGTTTGCTAATTACGAAGCAACATTGCTATTGCTACACTGCTGACCGTTCAACCAATCAGTCTAAATATTTCTTCTATGTCCTGCAACTGCCCACATAGATAAGAAATAATCAGTCTCTATCTAATTAGTGAAAGGAAAGAAAAATCACAGCCTATGGCTTTAATGTAGTTGTTTTATAATGAAAATAAGCTCAAGGGAAAGAACTAATGAATTTTCTCAGGGGTCGTCTGTACATGACGTCAAGCTTCTTGCTAATATTTCTCCCTCCCTATCGACACGAGAAAGGCCGACCCATCTATAACGACGTCACACTTCAGCCTAACCCCACATTTAAATTATTTTAATTTTCATTCTACAATATTGATTATATATATTAAAAATTGCTAACAAAATTCAGTGTTAAAATTACTTTTAAAAATACAAGAGTGGCCGCACATATTCTATCCCACCACTCGTTTAAGATCACTGCATGTCAATACAAAAGGCCAGATCCAATTGAGTGTGTCGTCTTTCACGCTTGACGTCTAGAAAACTTTATAATGAAGTGTCTAATAAATAAGCTAAATGTATTTTTTTTTCAATAAGTGTATAGATTTAAAGACAACAAATTTAAAAGAAAGTAATTTTTCGGTCAATGGCCTTGGAAAAAAAAGGTATTAGTCATCGAAGACAATAACTTGAACAGCGTGGTAGTGGAACCTTATGTTCACCAGCAAGGTGAAAAAACAAATAATCCCCCAGCAGGGACGCCTGACGACATCTAGAACTATGAAGGTTTTGTGTGATACTGATAGTACGTTTTTTTTTACCGTTGGTGTGAAACTACTTAAATTTTTTTCATCAGCTTTTGACACTTAGCAAAGGATTGCTATTGATCAGTGGGTGGGGTGTCGCCCGGTGTTTCAATCGAGGCGTCCCCCACCTCAGACTTATTTCTCCGGGGGGGGGGGTGTTTTCAATTGAGGAGGAGGGTAGCCGTTCTTTCAGGGGGGGGGGGGGCACAGAGCCCCAGAGATGCCTGAAAGAAACTCTGCCCTCCACCTAATAATGTTTGTAACCATACGATTTAAACCAGAGTTCATAATAAAGCCCACAGCCAATGAGTCGGTTAGACATTTTAATCTGTTTTTAGTCCCCTGAGCCATCCAACCGTTGTAACATGTTTTAAAAGAGGAATTTAATATACTGATTGGAAATGTAGCCAACTCGGTCACAAAGAAAATTTGCTCCATTAGTGTTGCTCCAAAAACAAATTACAAGGCAGCATTTGTTTGTATTTTTGTTTTCTTTGTAGATGGATCGTTGTCCCCATCAACGAACCCCTGGGTTGCAGATTTTGAGACTCCTGGGTTAGGATTCTTGCCAGTGGCGGAACTAGAAAAAAGGGGCCACCCCGCAAAAAATTTTTTTAGGCCCCCCCACCCATATAAATATTTAGGCCTATATATGTATATATATATATATATATATATATATATATATATATATATATATATATATATATATATATATATATATATATATATATATATATATATATATATATATATATATATATATATATATACTCAAACACAAAATACGAACAAGGATACTCATTGCTGGCCTGTTCGTGTTTTGAGAAATACGTGGGTTTTTTTTTTAATTGAAACAAATTACAACATCATGTCATGTGTGTAAGTTCATTAGTCTGTTATGTGAAAATCAGTTTTATATTATGTTTGCCGTAAGACCTGTAACAACATACCGGTCAAAAAGAATATAAAACATGAAAGCTTTCTGTAAATAATGGTGCCTCGTGTCATGTTTATTTTTATGTTTTTTTTTGTATTTATTTTATTAATTTTAAATACATTTTCTTTTAGTACAGTGGCATTCTTTAGTAAGTAATTTATAAACAAATAATAATAAAGAGAAGTAATTGCTTTTTAATTTGTTTAGTACAAATCTATTAAAAAGAGGCTTATGAGCATCACTATTTAACTTAAAAAAAAGGGAAATAAGTCATTGAAGTGGTTTGAACGTTTGCTTATCTTTGATAAGTTTGATTGATAGTGGTTTAAAAACGAAGGAAAAATTATCGTGGGATGGTGTCTATAGAATAAAGATAATCCAACCGCAGCTACGGTAATCTTTTTTACAAAACAAACATTAAGTCAAAAATGCAAGAAATTTTTTTTTATGGTCGGCCGTGGGCCCCTAAATGGCGTGCCCCCCCCCCCCCCCCCCGCATTGCGGGGTCTGGCGGCACTGTAGTTCCGCCCCTGATTCTTGCTCTCTCTCTCTCATGATGTATCATTTTCTTTCTCAGTAATTTTTACGAGGTTTTGACGCGTTGTCTCCTCTTTGAAATTCGTTGACTGTCAGAATCTCCACCCCAAAAGTCCGTTTTAAAGGAAACTGGTACGTCCAACGTAGAAAATTTTAACTCCTTTAGTATGGTGTTTTAATATGTTACTAGGCACTTTATCATAACTTATTTTTAATATGTGTACACAAACTTACAATAACTGTTTTCTAATTTTTCTTTCAACAGTTTTCATTTAGTGCATCAGATGTCTGAATTGCATATTACAACTGAACGTTTAGTGCAAGCCAATATATATAGTGGTCATGCATTTATGACTACGCACTAATTCGGAATTTTCAAACCACAACTTCTATGTCCCCACGCATCCATTCTGTGCCAACATTCTTCTTCCTAAACTGATTGGATATCCATAAAAATGTAATAGCTCTGTATGAATTTACTTTAATTGTAATATGTTAGTTCAATAACTACAATTTTGAGAGAACTGAACAATTAAATTTATTTAAAAGTAAAAATTATGTTCTTTTTAGTTACCGTTTTATGTAACCTATTACTTTCACTCGTTTTTACTTTTAGTGAAACCATTACTTTTTACTTTCGATAAAACCACAAGTTTTTACTTTTAGTGAAACCATTACTTTTTGCTTTCGATAAAACCAGAATTTTTTACTTTTAGTGAAACCATTACTTTTTACTTTCGATAAAACCACTGGTTTTGCTTTAAGTAAAACTACTACATTTTACTTTTAGTAAAATTACTACTTTTTGTTTTGGAAATTACGTTTTAATATAACAAGTTTATTATTTTATAAAAAAAAATCATTTTATCGGAAATTAACATAAAAAAGTTATTATTTTTTTTTTAATTAAAGGCACAATTTTTTTCGGAAGTGTAATCGATGCGTTGAATCTGTACCACACCCTTAGATGTCATTTTTTACACGAACAGTTCACTTTTTAATTACCAACACAGCAAGCGGTAAATTTGGTCCAGGCACCTACCTCTTATAAATATAGAAGTTGGCACAGGTAAATCATTCCATACTGCAGCACAGGTAATAACTAGTTTCCTAAATTTTCTTCATATTATACATTTCTTATGTTTTTAAAAAATCTAATTATTGATTCATTTTACCCCAGGTTTCAACATATTACATTAACACTATTCAAGTGATCTCAATATATTGTAAGTACTTTTTTTTTCGAAATGGGTTTTGAGAATTTAGGCAAATTCACAAAAAACGTGTTACAAATAGAAAGAGCTGTGAAATTCCAAGTATAATATAAGACTAAATATGCCATCTCTTTGCTTGAACAAATCCTCACATTTAAAAAGAAATTCTTAAAATATTTTGCGTTCGTAAATATTACAGTTTGTATATTTCTTGCAGAAAATGTTTGTCAGTCACATAGTTTTTGTTGCCTGCTTTCTGGGCGTGTTGGTATCTGCTCAAGCAGCTTTGGACGAGGACTCAGTCAATGATTTGGTCAATAGCATCGTTCCCGCTCTGCAAGATAAGACTGAAGATGCTCTGGACACACTGAACAGTGTAAGTAGAAAACTGGACACACTGAACAGTGTAAGTAGAAAAAAATGGACACACTGAACAGTGTAAGTAGAAAACTGGACACACTGAAAAGAGTAAGTAGAAAAAAGAAACTGGACACACTGAACAGTGTAAGTAGCAAAAATACTGGCACACTGAACAGTGTAAGTAGAAAACTGGACACACTGAACATGTAAATAGAAAAAACAACTGGACACACTGAACAGTGTAAGTAGCAAAAATACTGGCACATTGAACAGTGTAAGAAGAAAAAAAAACAAATAACCCATAGCTTTAAAATTCCTTATGTATCGTTTGTTCGCAGTCTTAAGTATTAGTGGGGATATTTTATTTTTAAAAGCAAAGTAAAGAATCTTCAGACCTAGCGATCTATTGGGCAGATGAAGTAGAGTTCATATGTTTCTTGACCTCGGCGTATATAGAGAAGGTGTGTTCAGCATTTTTCAAAGCCGCCTTTACTTTCCTTAACGTGAGTTAGGGACCCAACAGAGCTGGGTGAACTTAGGGACGTTCTACTGACTTGCACTCGGATTCGAACTCTAGACTTTCGTGTTAGCAGCCTAGCGCTCTACCGCTTAGACCACGCTGTCGAAATAATTTTCAAAAGTGGTTATATTTATTTCGTCAACATCAGTAAAACATGAGTGACCGCTTCCCTTATATTTCGCATAAGAGGAAATAAAACTGAGCGCTGAATGGACAAACAGCACCTAGATTCCTTGCAAAAAAAATGTCGTACGATTTTTTTAACTGTATGAAAAACATTTTTGACTGCCCATTTGAAATAATAAATTATAGAAAGATATAGGAGTGCAGATGTTGAAGTATGTCACTGTTCTCCATTATAATGTATATATATATATATATATATATATATATATATATATATATATATATATATATATATATATATATATTATATATGCAAGTACGTAAAATACATATAAACAACATAAACAACATATATAATTGTATAATACTACATATAAATACATGTCTACTTACATAATATTACATAATCTTATATCTTACACACAAACATACACACATATATTTATAGGTATCTATATATCTATTGATTTATGTATATGTGTATACATTTATATATATATATATATATATATATATATATATATATATATATATATATATATATATATATACACGTTTTTAAAATATCTTATATCTTATCTGTATATTTGTAAGTATAAATAGTTAAATTAACGTATATTATACTTACTTGTTACTTGACCGTAACATATATATATATATATATATATATATATATATATATATATATATATATATATATATATATATATATATATATATATATATATATATATATATATATATCGATATAAATATCTGCAAATAAATAAATATATATAAATATATATATGCATATATACCTACATACCACCAGGTGCTGGTAAACAGAAGACGATCCCTCAAGAGACGCGGGTTCTGGGATGATGCCGCAGACTTTGCAAACGGTGCCCTCACTGGCTACCTGTACTACGGCAGACGAGATGCGGACGCCGATGCGTTTGAAGACAGACTGAAGAAAGCTGAAGACGCCGTTAACGTTCTGGCTAAGGCATCCCAAATAGCAAGGGATGCGTTGGATGCAGCAAAAAACGCAGCTAATTGATCGAATACGAGTTAATAACAGTTAATTCTTTACATATTTTGGGCACCTGAATAAAAATATTTGCTGTAGTAGATGGTTTGTTGGATGAAATAAACGGTAACACAAAATGAAATGTGGACAAATAGAGTATCGTTGTTTAGTTTCATTTATTTGTGGTTGTTGAAAACATAATTATGTTTTAACGATTCAAGCAAACAATTTTTTTTTAAATATCCACGATTAGTAATATTTTAAAACATACTTCACTTAGTAAAATAGGAGATTCGTATATTTAGATATACGTATTTTGGTTCATATAGCTTCGTTCAGTGCCATACTTCATATGAATCAACGTAATGTAGATTACTTTGACTGGTCAACTACAAATGTATAGAATTCTTCATTGCAATGTCTAACGGACACACCGATATTTGTCATCATGTAACCTTAAGCTAATCGATATTAAACTTAACACAACTTAACAGAAGTTTTAAAACTGAAACTACCATTACTGCGAATTATTCTACTATTTTCAACCTCATCATTAATCAGTTTGCAAGTAATTTTGTGTTAAATATAACTTTCATCCCTGCCTTATATCCAGCTTTTACGTTTATCTTGTTTCTAACCATAATACTGACACAAGTTTTAAGTATCTCTGTGCGTAATTACAACTTAGACCACAACGATGATATCGACGGTGCACGCATTAAAACGTTGATTCATTTATTAAAGGAGTATTTTATAATAGAAAAAAACAATTAGACATACCACGCGTTAACTAATACACATCTACAGACTGTAAACTTACCAAGGGAAACGGGATGGAATAAACAAAGATAAGAAGTTTCAAGTATCTGGAATGTCATGCCGCAACTTAAAGGAATCGCCCAGATCTAAGTGCATCGGGTTGATGGTCCACTTGTTCTAAATTATTGGTCACGTAGGGGGGTCGGCGTGGTCGAGTCGGCAAAAAGATCATGGTTTGCAAAATTCGAACAGTCTCGAGTTCAAACCCACTGGCAGATAAATCTCGATCCCCTTCAACACTAATAATTAAGAACGAAGAAGAAGAAAGAAGAATTGGTCACGTAGTTTACGTCAAGCCTTATCCCATATATATATATATATATATATATATATATATATATATATATAATATAATGCTAGAATGTAGTATCCAGAATTATAGGAAGTGAATTTATTTCCTAATTCATGATATTTGTATTTGGAATAGGCTTATATGCACAATTTTACATTTGAAATATATGTAAAGGGTTGGTTGGGAAGCACTAAAATTCTGAAAACAAGCATTTAGCTTCGCTATTGTGAATACATTTTCAAGCTTTCAACACCCCCCCCCCCATTTTGTGTATTCAACCCCCCCCCCCCATTTTGTGTATTCAACACACCCCCATTTTGTGTATTCAACACCCCCCCCCCCCATTTTGTGTATTCAACACCCCCCCAAATTTGTGTATTCAACACCCCCCCATTTTTGTGTATTCAACACCCCCCATTTTGTGTATTCAACACCCCCCCCCATTCTGTGTATTCAACACCCTTCCCCATTTTGTGTATTCAACACCCCCAATTTTGTGCATTCAACACCCCCCCCCCATTTTGTGTATTCAACACCCCTCCCATTTGGTGTATTCAATACCCCCCCCCCCCCCATTTTGTATATTTAACACCCCCCCATTTTGTGTATTCAACACCCCCACCATTTTGTGTATTAAATACCCCTCCCCAATTTTGTGTATTCAACAGCCCCCTCCCATTTATGTGTATTCAACACCCCCATTTTGTGTATTCAACACCCCCCCCCCCCCCCCCCCCCATTTTGTGTATTCAACACAGTTCCCCATTTTGTGTATTCAACACCCCCATTTTGTGTATTCAACACCCCCCCCCCCATTTTGTGTATTCAACACCCCCCCATTTGGTGTATTCAACTCCCCCCCCCGATTTTGTATATTTAACACCCCCCATTTTGTGTATTCAACACCCTTCCCCATTTTGTGTATTCAACACCCCCCATTTTGTGTATTCAACACCCCCCCCCCCATTTTGTGTATTCAACACCCCCCCATTTGGTGTATTCAATACACCCCCCCCATTTTGTATATTTAACACCCCCCATTTTGTGTATTCAACACCCCCCCCATTTTGTGTATTCAACAGCCCCCTCCCATTTATGTGTATTCAACACCCCCCATTTTGTGTATCCAACACTCCCCCATTTTGTGTATTCAACACAGTTCCCCATTTTGTGTATTCAACACCCCCATTTTGTGTATTCAACCCCCCCCCCCCCCATTTTGTGTATTCAACACCCCCCATTTTGTGTATTCAACACCCCCCCCCCCATATTGTGTATTCAACACCCCCCCCCCATTTGGTGTATTCAACATCCCCCCCATTTTGTATATTTAACACCCCCCCCCCATTTTGTGTATTCAACACCCCCACCATTTTGTGTATTAAATACCCCCCCCCATTTAGTGTATTCAACACCCCCCCCCTATTTTGTGTATTCAACACCCTCCCCAATTTTGAGTATTCAACACCCCCCCCCCATTTTGTGTATTCAACACCCCCCATTTTGTGTATTCAACAACCCCCCCCCCTATTTTGTGTATTCAACACCCCCCATTTTGTGTATTCAACACCCCCCATTTTGTGTATTCAACACCCCCCCCCATTTGGTGTATTCAACACCCCCCCCCATTTTGTATATTTAACACCCCCCCCCATTTTGTGTATTCAACACCCCCATTTTGTGTATTCAACACCCCCCCTCATTTTGTGTATTCAACACCCCCCCTCATTTTGTGTATTCAACACCCCCCCCCCCCTATTTGTGTATTCAACACCCTCCCCCCTCATTTTGTGTATTCAACCCCCCCCATTTTGTGTATTCAACACCCCCCATTTTGTGTATTCAACACCCCCCCCCATTTTGTGTATTCAACACCCCCCCCATTTTTGTGTATTCAACACCCCCCCCTCATTTTGTGTATTCAACACCCCCCCCCCCATTTTGTGTATTCAACACCCTCCCCCTTCATTTTGTGTATTCAACACCCCCCCTATTTAGTGTATTCAACACCCCCCCCCCACATTTTGTGTATTCAACACCCTCCCCATTTTGTGTATTCAACACCCCCCATTTTGTGTATTCAACACCCCCCCCACCCCATTGTGTGTATTCAACACCCGCCCCATTTTTGTGTATTCAACACCCCCCCCCCATTTTGTGTATTCAACCCCCCACCCCATTTTGTGTATTCAACACCCCCCCCCCCCATTTTGTGTATTCAACACCCCCATTTTGTGTATTCAACACCCCCATTTTATGTATTCAACACCCCCCTCCATTTTGTGTATTCAACACCCCCTCCATTTTGTGTATTCAACACCCCCCTCCATTTTATGTATTCAACACCCCCCTCCATTTTGTGTATTCAACACCCCCTCCATTTTGTGTATTCAACACCCCCCTCCATTTTGTGTATTCAACACCCCCCCCCCCCCCCATTTTGTGTATTCAACACCCCCATTTTGTGTATTCAACACCCTCTACCCGGCCATGTCATCAAGGATGCTATCGCCCTTCACTGTATATTGTCAACACCTCTCCTGGATTGGATACCCGTAATTGACGATTGGATATCACACTCTATATCCAGTTGTTAGCTATTATACTAGAATGATTTCCTCATCAGATATTGTGTAAAGCTCATTAGTTACATGTTAAAAATGGTGTGGTTTCTAACACTTCGCTACATTTTATCTGATGACAAGGTGTCCTTTTTTCAAGCGGATGTCTAATTATGCTTTGTTTTTCTAGATATGATCAAAAACACGTAATTGGAGATTTTATTGATATATAATCAATTCTTGATGTAACACAAATGTTGATATAGAATTTTCTGTACATTATTTTATGCTTCTAGTTTACTTTTAAAACTTGGACTCCAGATTTAAATTCTTTACATTAGCGGAACTTGGAATGGTATCACCTATCAAGTCTTGATTCAACCAGTTCCCATACAATAACCATCTGTTCATAATTATCTATACACTTGTAATGGAAGTTTGTACTGTCTAGCTACAGAAAGAGAAGAAAGCCAAAGCTCAAACGATTTCTTGACAGTCAGCAGTGTATCCATATAAACAACTAGAATCCATTCTCGTAGCAACCATCTAAACATTCAGTAATCATTTATAACTCATCTAAATGCATAAAAACGAAAAGAAACAGTCTAATACTCTAGAAGCCATCCAACAACACTGCAACAATTTGACAGCCAGTAGCAAACCAACTAGCTATTTAATCAAGCACCAACCAGCCAGCCAGTTATACAACCTATCAGAAAACATCTATGCAGCTAGTACAGTCTAATCAAACATCATTCAACCGTCCAACAAAATCTAGTTTGGCAACAAACATTTACCCCCCCCCCTCCAGCTATTACGTAACTAAGTTAAAGGTGACAGGATATAAGACACCAGAGACAAAATATATCATAGACAAAAGTTCTCAGAGAAATATCTCAACGACACTTAATATCTCATATATAAAATACCTCAAAAAAAAACAACAACTCATAGACAAAGTATCAAATGGACAAAATATCTCATTGACAAAATATTTCAAAGAAAATATGTGAATAGAACAAATATGATTAACAAAATATCTCATGGACAATATATCTCATGGACAATATATCTCATGGACTAAATCTCACAAACCCAAAATATAGCAAAGACAACATTTCTGAGAGACTAAATTTCTCAAGGACTTAATATCTCAAAGACAAATGATCTCAAAGACAAAATTTCTCAAAGAAAAAATATTTTAAGGGCAAAATATCTCAAGGACAAAATGTCTCAGGACAAATGACCTCATAGACAATGTATATACATATATATATATATATATATATATATATATATATATATATATATATATATATATATATATATATATATATGAAACCAGCAAGCCAGAAAGCACAACTAGACCGCAATACATAAACTTTTTTACTGTCTTTAATGTGATGAAGTTATATATTTTGTAACATTTATGTAACATATTTCTTTGTGATAATATAATAACGATTCATTGCTTACACAAAACCATATGTCTGTTCTTAGATATTAAGTCACGATTTTACCATAGCGTCCCAGGAAAAACTTCTTAAATATGTTAAACACAAAATTGATTTTGCTCTTGGTTTTGCCAAATGTGCTTTCTCTGCTTTAGTCTATTTATAGATCATAAGGAAACTTGTTTGAAAGTCGAGAATATATATAAAAATTAACCTTTGCAAGGATGTAATTTTTTTATATTTGCAAATTTTCAAGTTTGCCCATAATTACGACTATGAAAAATTTGACACGCGTTTGTCTAATAGATATTTTGATGAAATATGTTGCCAATAATGGAAATACTTTTTTTCTTATGTTTAATACAGCAATTAATGTTTTTTTTTAATTAAAAAAATAACGGCAATGTGAAAAAGGCCTCAGTGCCAACTGTCATTACCGCTATTGCATAAAGTTGAAAAGTTGAAAAAGTTGTATTTCAGTGAAAAAAATACACTATTTGTTAATACCGATGATATTTTTGTTTTGTTTCGGTATTTGCAGTTTTTAATCAACATTTTAAAAGAGCCTTTTAAAAAAAAAAACAATTTAAAAGATACGATTTCAGTTTTATTTTTAAATTCTACAGTTTTTCTTTAATTATTTCCATTCTTAAAAAAAAGTTTATTAGATGTTTTTAATCTTCAACGTCAACTCCCTAAAATAACACCCATTTCGCTACATCAACTCTACTAATGGTGTAGACTGAATTCTGTTATTTTAGCCAGGTAGAATCACCCAGTCAAGAGATATTAAAAGAACAAACAATCTATTTTTACAAACTTTTATTTAACTTGCTTCTTCTGTAGTGTTTCTGTCTGTCGTGCTTTTGTAGTATCGAATCGAAAGTGGCAAGCGAAATTTCAATCAATTCTAATCAAAAAATTTGTCTGAAACTTTTCCTAGTTGAAACGACACATGAAAACTAGATTGTCTATATAACAGGGGACCGCATTACTTAGATACATAGAAAAAAAACAAACTAGGTTAGAACAACAAACACTATGTTAGCTTATTCTTATATTTTTATTGTACCCATCAATATATCATTTTTAAAGTTTCCTTTATCCAAGGGCGGCTCCCACAGCTATCGCCCCAACAGTGCCCCAGAAGCCTCTTTTTTCTTTCCGTTTTTCAATGTTTGACACAGATCTTGATTCTTGTTCGTTTGACTGAGAAACAAAAAAAATAGATATTCAACATTTTGTGAAAGTTGCAATCTTCGAGATCACCCCACGCGAAATCCAACTACGATGCTTTGTAGTTTAACCTGAGGTCAAGTTAATATGAACGAATGTATTCCTCTTTGATAACGATATGAAAAATTCCATATAATAAGAACAGCCCTTAACTAATGATACATCTGCCATGGACATACAAATCTCAAGACAAGTACTCCCCCTCTCTTTCCCATGATAGTTTGTCGAAATTATTGCAGTTTATCTAAAATAAATTCAATGAGTTGTATTATATAATAAGTTAGAACACCGTTATTATGTGGCGCAGACAATATTTAACACCAAGAGATGAACAAAGTAAACGAGCAGAGAGTGGTCTAAAAATAGCTCAGCCTTACCTTCTCTGAGAGGTCTCTTCTATCTCGAGGGTTGTGATGTTCAGCCTGGACAAGACATGCTAGCAGGCACAAGGCTACGGCGAAATAAGCAGCTCGCATTTTTCTGTCACTGAAATAATTCAAAAGTTAAAACCACAAGAGCATTGAGATTTACATAACCTTAAATCTACCTCATTTCCATAATACAAAATCAATGTTTTTAAGTTCCCGTCGTCCTGTTAAAAATAAGTATTCTTTAGTTTCGCAATTACACAAAAAGTACGAAAACATTTTGAAAAAAAAATTCTCCTAGAAAGGACATATTTACCTTTTTGTTTTTAATATACAAGGTACATAAATCAGCTGTATAGTAGTTTTAGACCTTAGTTCTGCAACTAAAACATACGAGGATATCTTAGGTTATATACCCTCGAGGTGGCAGAGTGATATCTCCCATGCTGGTTTTGTCGTGATCAAATCTCCCTGAGGATCAGGTTTTGTAAAAAGTAATTAGCGTTTTTTGAACTACCTCGGTAATAAATGATATTTCATGTCGATCTGTAACTAAACATATCAAACATTGGAAATGAAGAGAGTTTCGTTATAAACGTGTTGCTAGAAGGAATATCGTGCCGCCTTTCAGAAGATTTTTAAAAAATATATGTTTATAAAACAAATTTCGATCAATAAATTAAAACGAAAAAAAATTCAACCAAAAAGAAAAAGCTGATGAAAACAATTAGTGTAAAATATTGCTGGAATCAAAGTAATTTGTATTAGATACTATCTTTACTTCAGATTTTTAATTCAATAAAGAGAATCCTAAATATATTATATATATATATATATATATATATATATATATATATATATATATATATATATATATATATATATATAAATATATATACATAATACGTATGTAAACTTTTACATGAGCGTAAATGCGCAAGTGTTTGTTTACGAATTTTAACTCTCGGCTGCTTTTCGAAAAAGCTAGGTAGGCTTGTTCTTTAGTATTTTCGACACACGAAGTTTGTAGTTATCCAAATAACTACACAATTTGAGCGTGTTATTGTTTAAAAATATGGCCATGTGAATTCTACTAAAATCTCTATCAGTTTAGTTTTGTAATGTTCGCAATCTTTATAAAATACCCGGAGATAAAGAAATCGTCTAAAAACTGAAACACATACTGAAAAAAAAATCCCTTAGTCCTAACATTGAATGTGTCACGTAAACCTGGTACGAGCTAGCTAAAAATAAACCAAAATGTTACCATGACACGTGACTTTCATTAGCTTATCTCAGTCATCTCGCGAGTTCTCAATCACCAACCCAGCGCGAGATTAATTTGATTGGACACTTTCATCCTATAAAACCTGGAGCATTTACTTCACAGGAGCTCAGTTCGACTGGTATTGAAGCAAGTCTCGAACCTACCGGTGACGGCTTTTTCCACTGTTATACCTTGACTCTTATAACAGACGTCCAACTTACATAGCCTGTTATAACAAACGTCCAACATACCTAGCCTGTTATAACAGACGTCCAACATACCTAGCCTGTTATAACAGACGTCCAACATACCTAGTCTGTTATAACAGACGTCCAACATACCTAGCCTGTTATAACAGACGTCCAACATACCTAGCCTGTTATAACAAACGTCCAACATACCTAGCCTGTTATAACAGACGTCCAACATACCTAGCCTGTTATAACAGACGTCCAACATACCTAGTCTGTTATAACAAACGACCAACATACCTAGCATGTTATAACAGTCGTCCAACATACCTAGCCTGTTATAACAGACGTCCATTGTAGCTAGTCTGTTATGACAGACGTCCAACATACCTAGCCTGTTATAACAGACGTCCAACATACCTAGCCTGTTATAACAAACGTTCAACATACCTAGCCTGTTATAACAGACGTCCAACATACCTAGCCTGTTATAACAGACGTCCAACATACCTAGCCTGTTATAACACGTCCAACATACCTAGCCTGTTATAACAAACGTCCAACATACCTAGCCTGTTATAACAGACGTCCAACATACCTAGTCTGTTATAACAAACGTCCAACATACCTAGCCTGTTATAACAGACGTCCAACATACCTAGTCTGTTATAACAAACGACCAACATACCTAGCATGTTATAACAGACGTCCAACATACCTAGTCTGTTATAACAGACGTCCAACATACCTAGCCTGTTATAACAAACGTCCAACATACCTAGCCTGTTATAACAGACGTCCAACATACCTAGTCTGTTATAACAAACGTCCAACATACCTAGCCTGTTATAACAGACGTCCAACATACCTAGTCTGTTATAACAAACGACCAACATACCTAGCATGTTATAACAGTCGTCCAACATACCTAGCCTGTTATAACAGACGTCCAACATAGCTAGCTTACTATAACAGACTCACTTCTAATCTGGTTCGTTTACTTTCAAGATAAACTGATTTTCTAAAAGGTAGAAAATAAGAGATATTTAGCTCGATAGCTTGGGACAGCATGCCATCTAGGAGACTAAATTCCAAAATCAAACAACTGCTGTCTTGGGGATCATCTATACATAACGTCACTCTTTTTCGGACGATTTTTACCCCCCCCCCCCTCCCCTCCTTCACACGTCGTCACAAAAAGCCATAACCCCCCCTAAAATGACCTCACACCTCAGCCTACAACCCCTTCAAAATTGCAATTTAATTTTTCTTAAAACATCGATATTTTTTCAAAATCGTGTCAAAACTCTGTCAACATTGAGTATTTTAATCAATTACTATTACAATTTATTAAAACCGTTTTCTAAAACGCGCAATAACGGCTAAAACTCGTTTTCTAACATTGCTTTTTTAATAATGCAATAAATGACGTCACAAGAGTTATTTATTAAGTTATTTTTAAGTTATTTTTAAGTTATTTTTAAGTTATTTTTCAGCTATTTCTCTTAGCCCCCCTTATTGCCCCACACCCTTCCAGAGCACTTCCACCACCCACCCTCTCCCCAGTTGAAATAGAAACAAAACATAATTTAAACATTAAAAACATACTTTTAACAATTTCACGCCCCTCCGGAAGTTTTAAAAGCTGTCTCCAGAGGCGTAGCGAAGGGGGCGGAGGGTACATATGTCCCCGGGCGCCGACCTTAGGGGGCGCCAAAATGGGTTGGAAAAACAAATTAAAATCTCATTCTAGCTGAAGTTTTGCATTATAAATATAAAAAAAATATATCGGTGGGGGAGAAGGGGGAGTGTAAAATTGAAAGTTTGAGGGGGGGGGGGGCGCCAGGAAGGGCCTTTACGCCTCTGGCTGTCTCCATAAGTTTCCAGAGCCCCCAGCCTACTCCAAGAGAAAAATGTCTAAATGAAACCCTGGTCCCTTATAAGATAATAATGTATTTTGATCAAGTCATCTTCCCTCTTTTACGTAATAGTGAAACCGCAAAGTATGAAATAATATCGGGAAATCCTGCCATTAGCCGGTTCGGAAATTTCGGAAAGTTTAAAAATAATTTAAATACCCATAAATATAAAGTTATATTAAAATGTAAACGTTTGTTTAAATATTTAAAGCTATCAAATATTTTTGTAATTTACTTAATAAACAAGTAGAAAATAATTTTTTCCAAGGAATTAGCTATGGCATTTAAAAAATAAACAACCCTTTAAATGCAGGTGTATTTAAAATTTGAACCCTTGAGTACATGACCCTAAAATCTACTTCCTTCCGACGCTAGCTTGAAAAAAAAAGCGGGCAAGAAACTGACCGGTCCAAGTAAGTTAATTTCTTCTGATGTATAACACTCGACTAAAATATACCGTATACTTAGCACGACTGTAGGTCTAGAACCATGGAAATACATTATACAGTAAGCCAAGTTTACATCAGACTTGGATTTTAACTAGGTTCAGCACAGTCTGTCTAAAACAAAGTAGATCTAGATCTAGGTCACCGTAACTGCAAGTTAATGTAAGCCTGGAAGGAATGTGTTGGACTGGTCCGTGGTCCAATGCTGTGTTTGGTATGGAATTGTGCATATTACACAACATCAAGAGGGTGATGGCTTACAATGTTTTTCATACTGTGTTATGTGAGGTGGATTTGGTAAATCTGTTCTATTTTCGCTAATTTATGCTTCATGTGACTGACACCCCCTCCCTTTACTTTACTAGAACTAAGGTTGGATTATTTGTAATAATATATTCTATGTGTTTGCTTACTTGGTTAAAGATAAGTAAAGCACTGGTTCTGCAAAGGACTGGGCTAATTTTAGATATGTCTTCGGTTTCTGTGAATATACTTTGTTTTATGTGGACGAGTAGCTCGTCGCACAACCCCCAACCTGGAAAATCAGGGCACAAGACTGGCCCCTACCCACAGGACCAGGACACAAATCTGCCCCCTACCCACAGGACCAGGACACAAGTCTGGCCCCTACCCACAGGACCAGGACACAAGTCTGGCCCCTACCCACAGGACACAAGTCTGGCCCCTACCCACAGGACCAGGACACAAATGTGCCCCCTACCCTTAGGACCAGGGCACGCCTTCCCCCTTACCCACAGGACCAGGACACACATCTGGCCCCTACCTACAGGACCAGGACACAAGTCAGGCCCCTACCCACAGGACCAGGACACACCTTCCCCCTTACCCACAGGACCAGGACACAAGTCTGGCCCCTACCCACAGGACACAGTCTGGCCCCTACCCACAGGACCAGGACACAAGTCTGGCCCCTACCCACAGGACACAAGTCTGGCCCCTACCCACAGGACACAGTCTGGCCCCTACCCACAGGACCAGGACACAAGTCTGGCCCCTACCCACAGGACCAGGACACAAGTCTGGCCCCTACCCACAGGAACAGGACACAAGTCTGGCCCCTAACCACAGGAACAGGACACAAGTCTTGCCTCTATTCACCCCGAAGCACGTCTACCGTCGCATACAACGAAATTTATATATATATATATATATATATATATATATATATATATATATATATATATATATATATATATATATATATAAAGCAATGTATGTCTGTCTGTCTGTGTGTCTTTTACGCATTACCACACCTCTAATCACAGCGCCGTGAAACTTTGGGAAGTTGTTGAGAATATTCCTGGGGAGGTTGCTGCCAAAAAAAAAAATTTTAAATTTCGCAGGGGTTGCGCCCCTGCAGGGCGCGTTTTGTTTTTCTCTATATACGATTATAAAAATAAAAGTCGATTTTGGTTTGACAACATTCACCCGATCGCCATCAAACTTTGGTGAGTTCATTAGTACACTTTGGGGAAGGGTTCTGTAAAAAATCATTTTTAATTTCACAAGGGCGGCGCCACGGGAGGGTGCGATTTTTCTCTATATACCGTATTAAACAATAATAAAAGTGAATTGCCGTGACATCGTTCACACGATCGCCATGAAACTTTGGGAAGATGTTGAGAATATTCCTGGGGAGGTTTCTGCGCTAAAAACATTTTCAAATTCGCAGAGGTGGCGCTCCGGCAGGGCGCGATTTGTTTGTTCTCTATACAGTATATAAAAATAAAAGTCGATTTTGGATTGACAGCGTTCACCCGATAGCCATGAGACTTTTGAGAGTTGATTAGAACACTCTAGGGAATCGTTCTGTTAAAAAAATAATTCTTTATTTCGCAAGGGCGGCGCCACGTGAGGGTGCGTTTTTTCTCTATATACGGTATATAAAAAAAATAAAATCGAATTGCTGTGACACCGTTCACACGATCGCCATAAAACTTTGGGAGGATGTTAAGAATATTCCGGGGGAGGTTTTTGCGCTAAAAACATTTTCAATTCGCAGGGGTGGCGCCCTGGGAGGGCGCGATTTGTTTTCTCTACATATATGGTATATAAAAATAAAAGTCGATTGCGGTCTCACAAGGCTCATCCGATAGCCATCAAACTTTAGGGACTTGATTAGAACACCCCAGGGAAGGGTTCTATAAAAAAATCATTTTTAAAATTCGCAAGGGCGGCGCCACGGAATGGTGGGATTTTTCTCAATATACGGTATATAAAAATAAAAGACGATTGCGGTTCGACGCAATTTATCCCGGTGCCATAAAACTTTAGGGAGTTGATGAATACTCCCGAGAAGGTTTTTGGGGTGGGGGGGAATAGGGGTGGGTGGGTGGTGGGGGCGGGGGATTTAATTTTGCATGGGCGGCCCCCCGGCAGAATGCAAATTGTCGCCCAGGTCTTTTCCGTGAGCGCTATGGTGAATACGTTCGGTCTAAACAGTGTAATAGACAATGGATAGGATGGTGCGTTACAAACGCTTAATAAATTGAATCAGGCGTGTCCTCTGGCGCACTGGTAGCGTGCGATTAGGCTGCAAATAAAAATGTCTGTTTCGCCCTCCAAAGGCTCACATGGGCCGCTGAGGGCCATGTAATACGTTTTTATTTTATAATCAGAAATATTTAATATTTAATAATTTAATAATTTAATAATCAGAAAAATTAACCAAACAGTTTCGCCACTTTGCGAATGATGCAATTAGCATCTATTTTTAGATAATCCAGACAGAAATTGAGATCGAGCATCTAAGAATAGACCATTAGTAACGCTAACATATTGCATCAGCTACACTGATGTTTAAAACGCGTCAAATAATTTTTTACGTGTTAAATAACAAATCCTGTTCATTTGTGTCACTTTAATGAATGACGCAATCTGCATCATTGTTAACAGGATGCTATTTGGCACGATGGCGCCTGTTAGTTTTAAGGAGCCAGGGGTCGTACGCCGCGCCTATGCGGTAGTGTAATGGGGGGGGGGGGGGGGGTTCCTGAGAGCGGGCCTCTACGTCTCTGACACATGGGCGGTCACCGAAGTTTGTTCTACCATATTATTTCGGTGAGTGATTAATGTACACCCAAGGTTTTCATGCGGTAGTGTAGGTAAACTCGTGTCCTGATAGTTATGCTCCAAGCGCGGGCATTGTTTACATTTAAATAACTCATTTTTAAAAAGGTCACGCGTCTAAGAACATATGATTGGTAACGCGTTGGTGAAATCCTTCTAATATATTTCTTCAAACTTTCTTCTATCCCCGGCAACGGGCGGGGGGGGGGGCGGGTACGCTAGTATATATATATATATATATATATATATATATATATATATATATATATATATATATATATATATATATATATATATATATATATATATATATATATATATATGTTTACTTTTACCAGTGTATGCCCCTTCCCCATAAAATTTAGTTCACCCGCAATCCCGAAAATTTCAAGTACCCCTTCCCCTCCGGGGACGAAATAGTCTGAAAGAAATACTGGCCTCAACCACAATCTCGGGTGGGTGGGTGGGGGCTGATACTAGTAAAAATATATATTTTTTAAATATAAATTGTGTTTTGTTCGGGGGGGGGGGGGGGGGCGATAGATGTTCTTCGGCGGAAGAACCTAAAGAGATGCCTGATAGAAAATCTGCACGCAGATTAAGATTAGACAAATAACTGAGGTGGTACTGTTAATTTCTTTATTATCAAGTATCGAAAGTAACCAACCCAAAGTGAACATAGCGTCAGTTTTTAGATGGCTGTTATAAACATACATATGCATTTATACTGATTCAGAAATAGATTTAAATAACTTACAGTAATATAATAACAAAAATATTTTTTTTACATAGGGGTCCATGGGGTAGGGGTGAGGTTTAAAATCCGATCATCCGATGAATTTACTTTACACAACATTCGGTAAACTAATGTATTTTAAATAATCATTTGAATTGATTTTTAATGAATAAAAAATACGTTTTTTATTGATAACCTATATAAAATAACTACAAAAATAAAAGAATTTGTAAAATTATTTTATTTTTAGCTAATAAATTTTCACATGTTTTTATGTCTCTCTTTCGCTTGGCATTGTTTCCACACTTTGACCGTTGGTAATTCCAGATTTTATTTCTGATTTATCGTAACAATTTTATATAGTGTAAATATTTATTTTCAGAAAATGAAAGAACAAAAAATTGAGGAGAACAGTCCTACATACAATGTTGGACTAGCAAATTACATCAAGTCCGAATTCTCTTTTCATGTTCCTTTGACGGAATTCTTAAACCAAGTCATCCAGCATTCACCTCAACTTTTTTCTTTCTGCACTACGGTAAATTTAAATGTATAGAAATATTTTCATTTTACGATTATGTCATAAGACGGCTTAGAATAAAAGGACCTCAACATTTGGTAGGACTTAGTCATGGTCTTACATTAATAGTTTTAAAAGCTCAAATGCGTATGATTAATTATCTCATAATATTTGTTGATTATATTTGTTTATTTTTCAAATAATGATTGTATTAAGTTATTTAATAAATTATATCAAAAGAGTAGAGTTCGTCAGTTACCTTGTCAGCTATTACGGTTTGCTCTTTTGGGTACTTCTGTCATTTGCTTCCGCCATTATCATCTTTAGGAAATTGAATAAATTATCGTTGCCGCACAAAAAATCTACTCGACCTCCTTTGACAGAAGTCACTTTGTTAAGATTACTCTTATCGTTTACACGTCTTAAAGTAATTGGTTCCTTATATATGTTGATTACCTAAATTGTATTATTCCTATAATTAGCAAGAATTCAAGAAAAAGATGGAGATTTTATCAGAACAACAAGTAAAGGATCAATTGCTTTATAAGCTCTCTTCAAAGAATGGCTGGTTTGACATTGTTATTAAAATACTGAACACAAAAGAAATATGCAGTGAGTTTGTAGCGGATAAGCTATTAAAACTTAAAGGTAAATCACTATGTTTTTTAAATTTTAAAGAAAGTTCATTATATTTTAAACAAGGAGCATTTTTTACCAGCTTTGTTACACTTGCTCATTTAAAATATCTTGTTACCGCTTAAACTTAAAAGGCATATTTAATATTTGGACTCATTGGGATAAATTTATATGTGCGTTTTTAACATTTGAGATTTCAAAAATGTATATTAAAAAGTCCTGTATCTTACATTAGCTTTCTAAAAACTCATGATAAAATACTTAAAACAGTTTTAAGTACCAAAATGATTTGCAAAAGATTTTGTTATATTCAGAACAATAGGCCTATATATGTAAAATTGTATCAGATTTTAAAAATATAACAATATTTGGAAAGCTTCACAATATCATTTCTGTCAATTTATACCCAAAACACTCAATGACACATACATATATTTTGAAACTACGATCAGTAAAGTTTTTCCACAACAGTGATTACATGTCTATTCAAAATTAACCCAATATTGTTCAGAGATATTGTCTATAAATGAACATATTTCCAAATATTTGACATCATATAAATATTATTCTTTTAAATTTTATATAATCTCATAAGGATTAATGTTTAAATTCATCATCAGAGGAGTTTGACCAAAGACTCAAGAAAGGTGAAATACAGGTATTATTTTATTTTTAAATATCAAATGAACTGTGTATACAGGTTATTATTTTGGAATACCGTTCTGTAAGTAAATACCCACTGTAGTAAACTAAGATAGTTTGGATAAAATACTTGTTGAAGAGTAAATGTAAGACAACTTATTGCTTATGGAAATAATTGTTTTCATGGATAAAGATATTAGCAAAGTAACTTTAATCTCTACTAATTAAAATACTTTATAATTGATTATCTGTATAGTACTAATTGTTATATACATTTCATTAATGTTTATTATATTTTAAGAAAACATATGGTTTATATAAATTGTAAATTAAAAAAAGATAATTTGAATTGATGTAATCATCAGTCCCAACACTACAATTCAAGTTCAGATGATGGTATGTATATAAAACTCACTCTTAACATTGGCTGGTTAGGTATGTATGTATATGTTTGTATATATTTTAAAGCAATTTCCGAAATACAACATAAAGTATTAACAATTTATGTAGTCTATTACAATTTCAAACATTTCTCATAAGACAATATGCCGACTACAAGTAAAGGCAAAGGTAAAAGGTTGAGCGCCAATGGGAATACGGATAAAGAAACGTTGAGAAAAAAACCAAGTGAGTGACAAGTTTTAATTACATAGACACACATTTAATTTCTTACTTGAACCTACACAAGTTATTGAACACCGAGGCAAATCTGTTGTATGTATTTACGTTACATAAAGCTATAGACCTCACAGGTTTCAGCAATTTATGTAGTCTATTTCAATTTTAAACCTTCTTCAGAATACAATATGCCGACTACAAGTAAAGGCAAAGGTAAAAGGTTGAGCGCCAATGGGAATACGGATAAAGAAACGTTGAGGAAAAAAACAAGTGAGTAGCAAGTATTAATTACATAAACACACATTTAATTTCTTACTTAAAGCTACACAAGTTGTTGAACACAGTAGCAAATCTGCTCTAATTATTTACATTACATAAAGCTAAAGACCTCACAGGTTTCAGCCATTCATTTAAAAGTGAGTAAGTTTAGATCTGTTTTAATGCTTAAACCAATACAATTATATATAATGAAATGGCATGTAATTATTCTTAGCATAAAAATGAACTTTTATATATTTTAAATAAAGGTATACATATCCATTCTTTTACATATAGTTATGGCGTTTCCATCTCACTCACAATTTTAAATATATTAATAAACAACCACTGATTAAAAAAGATTAAAAGTCATTTGTAATAACAATGTGGGCCTATATATGCACTTATAAGAAAAAAAAATACAAGCTTATAACGAAGTTATAGTCATGACCAATTTAAATAGATTTTGATAAATATTACTTCCATTTACCGGATAGAATATCGATTTAATTCTACTTACAGCAGATAACACTATTTATATATGAAATTTCGCCCACCTAACGAAACGGTAATGAAGTTATTTTATTTTAGAAACCGAAAATTGAGTCAAGTACAACTTTCGGATAACGGAAATTAAATGTAATTTAAGTATACGATCTTCTATATGAAATGTAAACATTACTCAAGTGATTGTGATCTTACGGGAATAAAGTACCATTTTTGTTTACATAAAATCGTTCAAAAGTTGATAGAAACTTGCGCATATTAACTAATACTTAGACTTTATGTGAAATTCCGTCCATCTAGCCTGAATGGTACTTAAAGCATAAGCTTTTTAAAAACAGGAAGTAGGTATATGTACGCTTTCAGGCTACCCAAAATCGTTTATAAGTTGATTAAAAACAAAAAAAAATTCATGTAATATTTTTATGTGCAATTTTTGTCAGCCATTTTAGAGAGACAGACACAAATGTAAAAATAAGTTTTTTTCTATTTAAAGGAGTAAATGTAATTTTTTTTTGTCAAAACAATACCTTCCCGTATACTCCGTTTGCAAGAAAGTAAAAAGACTAAAGCAAGTTAAATTAAAGTGTGTAATGACCTAAATCAAATAATAAATGGGCAATACATTATAAAGGGGTGACACTTTCCCTGGGTATCCTGGAGTTCCAGATTTAAGGATCGATTTTTCGAAAAAAATTGAGTTTAAAATATCTGGGTTAGCAGTTTTACAAAAACGAAGACCCAGTTAACTTGCCATCATAGAAATCGTTTATATTATTACAACTCTGAGCATTTTTACAGCTTATGTCCATTTTCCGCGCATGCGTAGAGTGTAGAATATCTACTTGCCTGCTGTGGAAACCTAGGTAAAATAGAGAGACAAATTTGTATAAAATTTAAAGTTTAAAAACCTTAGTCTTTCACCAATAGAGAGTATTTTTTTACAAATGTACATACATAGGTCTACATACACAGACGTATTTACACACCATGCGTTAATTTTTAGACATTTATGTAGTCTATTACAATTTCAAACATTTTTCATAAGACAATATGCCGACTACAAGTAAAGGCAAAGGTAAAAGGTTGAGCGCCAATGGGAATACGGATAAAGAAACGTCAAGAAAAAACCAAGTGAGTGGCAAGTATTAATTACATAGACACACATTTAATTTATTACTTGAACCTACACAAGCTATTGAACACAGTGGCAAATCTGCTGTATGTATCCTTTCGAAAAAAGTGTGTCTTTGTGCTTCAGGTAAGACATTTATTCTACCTGTTATGTTTATTCACAAATAAGGTTATTTATTTGAAATGTGTTTTATATATATATATATATATATATATATATATATATATATATATATATATATATATATATATATATATATATATATATATATATATATATATATATATATTTACTTATAGCTGCAAGCAAAGTTAAAAATGAAAAAAGAACTCAAGCAGTAAAATCGAGAATCCATAACTTAAGTAAGTAATCGTTCTACCTGTAGCTGTATTACATTATGATATCATATATCCAGGTATTACTAGCTGTTAAATATAATGGTAGATTTATGCATAAAATTTGGTATGTATAAAAATGTTGACGAAACTTCAAATTCCTTTACAATGTTTTATAAGCCCACATCAAATAAAAAAGCAACTACAATATACTCGTAGTAATTCGACAAAAAATATCAGCAAGCAGCTCGAGGAGCTAAACTTTGTCGATAACATCAAAAAGGTTTTGCAGTTAAGTAGCATAACTAATTGGATACTAACAAATTATATTAACCACTTGTTATAAACGTAAATAGGCGGCTTTCTGGCTCGTTTTTAAGAAAATCACAGTTCAATTTGACAAAGATAATTTGTTAGCAGAACATAGCTACTTTGTGAGCCTTTGCTGAAATTGGATGGGTGAAGGTAATATGTAATAAGTGTAAATGCAAAGTGAGTACAATGCATGTTGGGTACGAAATCATTTAGTTATTTCACTTTTGTACTTCACACTTTTAAAGCCAACCGCTTGGTAGTCTATCCATGTTTTGCAAATTGTCTCCCATTTTCTTTTTTTACCATCATTCCATTCAGCGTTTTGCGTTTTATCCTCACTCGAATAGTAATCTGAATATTTTGTTATACCAATAATTGTGTTATTGTTTCTAAATTTACAGGCTGGTGTAAGTGTGGAAATTGTTCGGATACAAGTATAAAAGCGAAGCAAGTGTGCTGTTTTCATCATTTCAAGCAGATAAAGAGCAATAACCCAAACAAGAATTTCGACAACAATATGTGTGTCACTAAATGGCCAAGAGTAGCTTCTTTTCTCAAGGAAAAGTTTCTCTTGAAAGAGAAAAATTACAAGAAACATTCCCAAAGCAACCCTGAAAATAATAAGTAATTGATTGATTTTAATACAAAGTATAAAATACCTTCTATTTTTGAAGCTTTTAGAATGGCTTATGGAAAGCAGTATGGATAGATATTTATTTAGAAAAATGAACAAAATATTTGCTAAGTAATTAGGACATCTGTATCTAGAGGAACACAGATTAACTACTTATTAATACATTTACCTTTCACAAGATTTATTTTAAAACCAAACACCATACAGTTTTCATTATTTAAAGAAAATACCTAAAAGTTACCTTTTATATTGACTAAAATATTGTATTATTTTCTCCACAGTAAAGTTCTGTTTCGACTGTGTTGTTGTTTCTACAAAGATCTGGTGAGTGGCAGAACGACAGATGATGATAACATCGAAGTACCCTCCTGCATGCTGAAAAAAATAGGGTCTCTCTATCCTGTTAAAAAATAAAACTAGCATTGTTTCTTCTATGCTTTTAATTAAGCTAAGCTATGTTAATGTAAACTGTCCTATGCTTTAAAATAAATTGCTATTTCTATTCTTTAGTACTACCCACTATTTCTATTCTATACAACAAATTTCTATTCTTTAGTACTACTTACTATTTCTATTTTATATAACAAATTTCTATTTTTAATACTACTTACTATTTCTATTTTATATAACAAATTTCTATTTTTAATACTACTTACTATTTCTATTCTATGCAACAAATTTCTATTCTTTAGTACTACTCACTATTTCTATTCTATACAACACATTTCTATTCTTTAGTAGTACTTACTATTTCTATTCTATACAACACATTTCTATTCTTTAGTACTACTTACTATTTCTATTCTATACAACAAATTTCTATTCTTTAGTACTACTTACTATTTCTATTCTATACAACACATTTCTATTCTTTAGTACTACTCACTATTTCTATTCTTTTCAATAAATTTCTATTCTTTAGTACTACTCACTATTTCTATTCTTAAAAATAAGTGTTCATTCTATAATTCTATTCTTTAAAACTATTCAATTATATAAAATTCTTTAAAACAATTCACCAATTCTACTTAATGAAACTACTTAATAAATATTTTTTTATGAAACAATGTTATAATCCATGTCAACATATCTTTCTTTTTTCTCTCTACACAACGAAACATGCCTGTCGATCTAAAGCTATTTGATTGTCTTTTTCTTAATTTTGATAAAAATATGAATATAATCAATACATCTGCTTGTATACAGTACAAAGTATACTCAGTTGTTATACTTTATTTTATATGTGTGTGTTAAACAGAACTTTGCTTCATATTTTTGAAGGGGAATTTCTCACTTTCGTGATGCAGTGTGACTAAATTACGTTAAAATGTTTTGTAGCTGGTTGCAGTTTTTTCCAGGTATTTCTTCGGGGTTCAGCCCCCTGCCCGAAGAAAGTCTACCGCCCCCCCCCCCGAAGGAAATGGAATATTTATATTGAAAATATATACTTTTTACAGTGTTACCCCCCCACCCCCATGGAAATTTTAGTCCGCTATCCCTCCCCCCCCCCCCGAAAATTTCAATCATTTTTTGTTTTTTTTCTCTATAGCAACTCATTTTTTAAAATTATTATTTAAATTAAAATACTTGAAGAAGAGAGGTGTCTCTCAGATAAATTTGTGCTCTTGCGTTTAATCCGTCTGAAAATCGTTATATTTTCGTTCATTTTAATATGAATTATATTATTTTAGAATGATTTACCGCCTCAATGTTATCCTTTTAAAATTGAATTGGTGTTATCAAATAAAAGTGAAGATTATTTGTTCAGAACAGATTATTAACAGATTATTGACGACTAGCAATAATTCACAATCAAAGGGAAGTAACTGTTATTTTAAGTTTAGGATAAGTAAGAATTATTTTATAATAATGATTTTGGTTAATTTATATTTATTAATACGTATATCGTTCAGTTATTTCTGCTTGTATTGAAAGAGTAAGATGCCTCAACCACTTCCACTTTAACAAAAAAAAAAAAAAAAATAAAATAAACGTATTGTGAAAAAACAACTTTTTTTTGCCCTTTGGTTCTTGGTGGAGCATAGGGCATCTGTCAAAGCTATCCACTCTCCACGGTCTCCCGCCACTCTGTTTACCATTCCTTCCTATCATTGTAGCGTCCTCCAGCAGGCTACGTCGACATATCTCCCTGGATCGAACCCTTCGTCGCCCCATGCTTCGCTGGTCCTAGGGATTCCACTCCAGGGTTTGTTCTTCCTAGGCGTGTGCCCAATCCTTCGCAATTTCTTCTTCATAATTTGCCTTGCTATTTTTTTTTTGTCCACTCATATTCCATTGATGTTAGAAAAAAAAATTATATACTTATGATACAATTTTAAGAAATTGAGTACACATTAAAATAAAATAAGAATTCGTAAAAACGGTTTTACTAAGACATATTTAGTATTATTGACTTAGAAATATAATTGCGTTGCTTTTTTATTTAAAACAAAAACACTGTATTTTATTGTAAAAATCAGGCGGATCGGCCGGCGCCACGAAAGGGTGCCATTTCGCGCCCCAGGCTATACTACCAGCACTATGCGTTTATGTTTGCCTTTAAGTTTGTGTTTATGTTCACGTTTAATTTTGCATTATTTTATTATTTATTGTTTCCGTTTAGGATTGCTTTTGTGTTTACGTTTGTGTGTCTATATATATTTGGGTTTGTGTTTTGTTTGCGTTTTTGTTTGCGTTTGCTTTTGTGTTTGTGTTTGCGTTTGTGTTTTTTTTGGGTTTTGTGGTTGGTTGTGGTTATGGTTAGGGTTAAGTTTACAGTTAGAGTTAGGTTTAAGGGAGGGGGGAGGAGGGGGGGGGGGGGGAGGGGGAGGTAAAAATCGTCAAAAAATAGCGTGACATCATTTTCAGTCCGAGGGCCGCATTAACTATCAATTTTCAGTTCGAGGGCCAGTTAGTTCCAGGCATGTCTTTGATTTTTCTGGGCAAAGTTCCTCAGCCATCACCAACAAACGTTTTTTTCCGTGGACAAAAAGATCTCCACGGGCCGGATGAGAGGACATCGCGGGCCGCATCGGCCCTCGGGCCGTAGTTTGGAGACCCCTGCCTTACACTCTTAGCGCTACTCTTTATCCCTAAACCTAACAGAACTTTAACTTCACCTGACATATTTCATTTACATGTACTATACAATGTTTTGCCACTTCCACTTAATTTTAGTCTTGCTTTTCTGTTCACTGGTATTTACTTTTTCGCCCCCGCTTTCCATGGAGGTTTGTTTTTCCTCTCTTTTCCTCTCTTTCAGAATGTTTCGGAAATGAGTTAGATATGTGTCATTCAATAGCTCCGATGCAGAACGAAATGCAACTTTTTCGGGATGTTTCTTTCCCAGCAACTGTTAAACCCGCTAATCAGGTTACTCGTATCTCAAATGTTCTCGTATGTCAAAGCAAATTTGAGCTCGGTCGACAGCTCGTATCTCAAATCTCGTATGTCGAGGTACCACTGTATTCTACACTCACACAACATTTAGGCTTCATGGCGGCCCACCCAGATGTACAAATCATCGCTAGTCACGGAGCTGGGTCAAACAATGACCCCCCCTCCCCCACCCCATTAACTAAATCATCACGTGTCAAAGTGACGAGAACACCTGCAGTTTCTTTAAGCGCCACGTCAGCGACCAGGGGGTTTCCTCGACGTATTCATGCGATTCTTTCACCTGTCAACACGCCTCTCGATACCTGCTCAGTGTTAGTGTACCTGCCAAATTCTGTCATTGACCATTTTACAAGCTATACAATTGGCAATATGTACTACTATTTGCATGTATAGTTTACATTGTAATTGTATTAAGCCATACTACGCGTTCTCTGCTTGCAAATGCTACAAGTAAAAAGTTTGTTGATTGAAATGATCGAGATGAATGCCGATCACCCTTAAGTTTTAAAAGTGCTTGTCGAATCGACACTTAGCATGTCACCTCCCCTCCCCCCACTTTACCGCCCTCCCACAGAGTAACTAAACACCTGTCTCCCACAATGACATCATGTTCTGAAAACCGTCTTGTTATCGCCGTTCCGCTTACCTAACCACACATTTAGCTGGTCTGTGATCGACAAAGCGGGCAGTAATATTTACATACGAAACGTCTGAAGTCACAAACTGCTGTGTTATTTTAAACTCGGAACAGTCCAGGCTTTGTTGTTTATGTGTTTGTTTGCTTGCTTGTTTGCTTTCTTGGTTGTGTATTTGGGTGTTTTATTTAGTTGTTTACTTGGTTGCTTATTTTATTGTTCAAACTTCACTTTGGATGTTGACCACCCTATTTTTTAAAATGCAAGTTTTAGCAAGGCTTTTAAAATTTTATTATATCAAATAGTCTATCAAGACAAAAACAATGAGACTTTGATGAAACTGGGTAAAAAACGACGTATACTGGGCTAACGAGAAACAAAGGGTGAACAACAGAAGAGGGGCAGCTCCCGTTTATCCGTTTCTTGAGAAGTTGGACTAAAAATGATTATATGTATAGGGCCGCGATAAATACTACAGAAGCCTACATTCATCATTTACTGTTCCAGTTACTTACATTTAACTAAATTCAAACTTTGCTTGAAAATACGCGTCAAACAAAGTATTATTTGTTCTTAAAGCAAGTGTTTTAAAATGCAAACTAACAATACTTTTCCCCCTCAAGATTAATTTCTTATATTTTTATTTGGACTTTCGTAGAAGATACAACAACAGAGAAATATCTTGCTTGAGACAACCAAAAAGAATATACATCACCGACTACTAGTTTCATCTCAACAAGCCACATCAGCAAATGTTACACGCCGATCTAATAACCCTCATGTATCTACTTGTTTCAAATACACAAGTCACGATTGATTTTACTTTGTTTGTACGTGACAATCAATGAAGTATTGAAACACATTACTTTCGCTTGGCAGGACGTTTGAAGTTAACAATTTTCCTTTTACTGACTTAGATATCATGTCAGGATTGAACATTGAGTTAATTTATTCAAAGAGAGGAGATGCTTTGTTGAAATACTTCCGGAAACGTTTTTTTTTCAAACCGTCCGCACTCTTAGAAAACTGAGTGGAACATGAATGCGGTTGTGTGTCTGATGTGTTTACATCTAGGCCTAGCTTGTGCGGGTGAGTTGGTACATTGTTTTTCTTTTTATATAGATGTAGAGTTGATTTCATTAGGGGACAATACACGTAACATTTAGCATAGATATACGACATTTGGGTCCGTCCACCAATAATTCATGTCTAGTAGGAAATCGTGTCTTGAGCTTATATATATATATATATATATATATATATATATATATATTGATTAATATAAGACATTTTGGGCCCATCAATCACCCTTCAATATCACACGATTAAATATTCCAATAGAGTGCAACCTCTTTATTTTGTATCGGAGTAACATTTCTAGTCCAATCTGTACCTTAAAATAGTTAGAGCATTAATAAAATGTCATTTTAGCCCGCACGAAAAGCAATTTAAATCTCGATTTTATTGAAGTGTTAATGCCCTCGTTATACAGGGGGGATAATTAAGTTAGCTCTATGCTCAGCAGCTTTTGTTTCCCTAACGCGAGTCAGGTACGCATCAACGCTTGGTGGACTCAGGGACGTCCTACAAACTCGAGCCCAGAATCCGAACTCATGACTTTCGGGTTAGCAGCCGTAAGCTCTAGCATTCGACTACAGTATACATACATAACTTTAAAACACAATTACACACATTTAAAACAACTCACTCACACAAACATTCACTCAACTTCCCACCCACACACTGTTCAGCAATAAATCCAATAACAAACCTACCCCCACACAAACACACAACACTAAATCAACAACACTAAAGCCTCTACGCAGTTATTCACGCATACACGCACATATCTAAAGCCAATATCGACAAATTTACATCAATGATAAGTCTTAGTGCAAAGAAGTAGGCATAACCGTGTGCTGGAGTTAAAACGACGAAGTGCAATATATCTTTCGAACCAATCACTAGATAAACTAATGTGATTAATAGTTTTTTTAATTATATAAATATTTATATCTTTACTTAGGTGTGATAATGAACAAAACTTCGTTTGTGTTGATTTAACCTGCTTATAAAAAAAAATTATATATATATATATATATATATATATATATATATATATATATATATATATATATATATATATATATATATATATATACATATATATATATATATACATATATATATATATATAATTTCTAAACTAGTTGCACGCAAATGCATAGCTATGGAAATTATCGACGAACTTTATGCAACAGCACACACTAACAAGGTATCGTAATTAAAATATACTTTTAAATTATATATTACTACATAATGCGAATAAAAATCTGTAACTGTCAAAGGCCACTAATTTCTTAAAACATTGACAGGACTGTTGCGATGCCTGCGTGTCAATGCCCAATTGTTACCTGTACACGTACTTTGAGAACAACTGTTACATAGAAATGTTTAACGGTTGGTTGTCGGATACAGTGACTGAACAATTCACATTCTCCTATCTTCTCTGTGATTACTATGGTGAGTAGTATTTCAAGATGGGCAAATGCTAGTGTTTAAAACTAAATGGGTAAATTGCATAACTTAAACCTTGCTATAAACTTAAGTAAAACCGTTAAATTCAAGATAAGCGAATTAGAATGTTCTATCTAGCTGTGCACTTTGCTTAACTTGAAAGTTGCTTTAAACTTAACTAAAACCTTAACTAAAACCTAGCTGTGTGCGTTAATTTTAAGATGAACTAATTTGTTTGTTTTTAGCTAAAAAACTTTAGCTAACATAAAGCTACGTGAGTATTTTGTCTCACTTAAACCTTGCTATAAACTTCACTAAAACCTAGATGTGTACGTTGGTTAATTTAACGCTGTTTCGGCATACTTTAGCTAACTCAACCTAGCTGTGTGCATCAATTTCAATATGAACTAATTGCATTGTTTCATCTAGCTGTCCACTTGAGCGAACTCAAAATTAGCTGGTGCCTAACTTAAACCTTGCTCTGATCTTTAACTAGCTACATAGGACGTAATGGCTGTAGCGAACTTAAACCTTGCTATGATGTAGCTAGCTACACAGGACGTAATGACCGTATCGAAACCTGCTGTTGACTGCAGCTTATATTGACGGGGTTGTTAACCTCAGCCGATACACAACGAGTTACTCCATTACAGCAATAAACTTAATAGATATACACATTTCTCTTATTCACTCCTAAATAAAGATGCAAATATTACTTTTATGCTATTGTATATATATATATATATATATATATATATATATATATATATATATATATATATATATATATATATATATATTTACACCCTTTACAATAAGAATTTCAGTGTGCAGCCTATCAGATTGTCAATGTCGTCCAGCCAGAGATTGCTACTAACCAGGTACGGTCATAGAACAACAGTTAACAGATGAGGTAACAATATAATGTAGGTAGATGGTGGCTTATGAGACGGTGTGTTAATAGAACAACAGTTAACAGATGAGGTACCAATATAATGTAGGTAGATGGTGGCTTATGAGACCTTGTGTTCATAGAACAAGAGTTAAGTTAACAGATGAGATACCACCATAATTTAGGTAGAAGGTGGCTTATAGGAGCCTTATAAGACGGTGTGGTCGGGATATAGAGCGTTCGATTACTTGCCGTAAGGTTTCAAGTACATCATGGACTGGATTACCTTATGGCATAGCTGAGTTTAACTACCTGCAATAGGTATCTGACTCAAATGATCAAAGTATAATGTATTTCGTGTGGAACTAAACATGCTATGTAGGCCTATCTTTGTCGCGGCCAGGTTATCTCTACTTCAACTACCATGTTGATCGAAAAGTCCGAAAGGTAACACAGAAACGTGGTTATAGGAGAGCTAAACCAATGAATTTTCAAAAACCTGATTTGCGTTTAGTTTGAATTAATTATTCGTTTCAAGTTTCAAATGTCAAAAGTGAAAAAAAAACCCTGAAACTATCATTTGATAAACTCTCAACTTTAAAAATTCTGTATTGTATATCGCATATTAACAGAATCTATAAATAAAATTTTAAGTGCATAAAAAGAAAAAATCGTTCCGCTCTATACACACGTAAAGTCTAACCAAACCGGATGTTTACATGTTGTTAAAGCTGATTTCTCCCCCATCAAACATACAGGCCTGCTACATCGCCTGCAGTATCGACCCCCAGTGTTTCTCGTACCTGTACAGTGAGGGCGAGTGCAGCCTGTGGTTTGTGCTAGGTGAAGTAGTGGACACCAGCACAAACCAGGACACCAACGCTTACGTCGGCTGCTACATGGGTGAGTACCTCTACACAATGTGTAAATCCCAGTTTTGGTGTATCCGTACCGTGGACAGTGCACCTCTTCCATTCTACATGTGTCAAGGCGTGGCCTAGCGGTAGAGCGTTAGACTGCTAGCCCGAAAGTCTCGAGTTTAAATCCGGGTTAAACTAAGTGGAACGTCTCTGAGTTCTCACTCACGTTAGGCAAAGTAAAAACAGCCAGGCATTGTGCTGATCATATTATCCCTTCATATGTCGAGGTCAAGATACATATGAACCCTGTTCAACGGATCGCTAGGTCTAAAGAGGAATCTTTACTCTACTTTTTATACTACATTTAATAGTAGAGCTACCGACGACTGTTAACCCGAAAATATCAAGTTCGAATCCCGGGCTCAAGTTAGGGAAACAAAGCTGGCTGGGCTAAGTGCTGACCCTTGTATGATGATGTCATCGAAACAATTAAACTATATTTCTTCTGCCCCAAGTGTCTTGATGACGTAGATGGTAGTTGACATCAGTTTTAAAAATCTGTTGTTTGCTATTTTAACTTATTTACAGTAAAATGTCATGTTTTTTTCTGTTTGCATAGCCTAAACAAACACAGTATAAAATTTATCCATGATTTTTATTTGTTTTTATTTTTGATGTCGTAAGTCCATAAATATTTCCACAATGTTTTTTTAAAATTAATGTTATAGGAAAATCATACTATCTATCAATTTATCTAAATATCATACTATTCAAAATCACTTTTCACCTTATTAAGAACTAAATTAGTTTAATTTTTACTTTCTCGTATATACGTAGTATAGAGAAAGTATTGTAATCGTGCAAAAAAAAAATCGAGATTTTTACAAATCTCGACGTTTTACACCTCACTGATACGGAAAAACATAACTTTGCAATCTTGTCCGTATGTCTGTGTGTGTGTGTCTATGTGACTGTAAACATGATAACTTGAGTACCGTTACAGCTAGGTTGATGAAATTTCATATATAAGTATTTTATCAAAATCGTAGATCCGTATCAACTTTTGAGCGATTTCCGATAACCGGAAGTGGTACTTTTTCTACTTTGAATTTTTCAAAGGCCTATAACTTGAGTACTATTTCAGATAGATAAATGAAATTTCACATGTAAGTAAAAGATCTAATTCTCTACCTTCTGTTAAATTTTGAGTAATTTCCGTTGACGGGAAGTACTAATTTACGCTATTTCCGATTTCTCAAAAACGCATCTAAATTTATAAAGTACTAATAATATTGCGCACCATTATGAACATCTTTATTCGGCGTTCACTTGGTGTGCAATACTTTTTTCTATGAGATTCTATTTTATTTTAAAAAGTTTATGTATTTAAAATGGATTAAAAATCATAACTATATCCCGAGTTCCCATCCCCTGTTGTTTTATATAAGAATATTCGAGAAAGTTTAGGGGAGATCACTCCCGGTTTATTGTTTTAACTCTCATGGTTAATCTTGAGCCATATAAAATGTAAAGATATCATTTGAGCTTATACTAATTACAGAACAGATTTGTAAACGAATGGTTACCATGCACATATACTTCACTTTGTTGCCACAGGAACTACTACAGCAGAGACAAGCGCCAACACTACCACCAGTGACAATACTGCACCTACAACAACCACATCTTCGAGAACCACACCTACTATAACAACCACAGCAACGACAACTGAATCGACAACAACAACTTCTACGAAAACAACCACACTTGTCACGACCGAACAGACATCGACCACATCTATGACAACCGAACCGACCACAACTTCACCCTCGACAACCGAACAGACACCGACCACACCCTCGACAAACGAACAGACACCAACCACACCTACAACAACAGAACCGACAACAACTTCACCCTCGACAACCGAACAGACACTGACCACACCCTCGACAACCGAACAGACACTGACCACACCCTCGACAACCGAACAGACACCAACCACACCTACGACAATAGAACCGACAACAACTACACCATCGACAACCGAACAGACACCAACCACACCTACAACAACAGAACCGACACCAACCACACCCTCGACAACAGAACCGACGACAACTTCACCCTCGACAACCGAACAGACACCAACCACACCCTCGACAACAGAACCGACGACAACTTCACCCTCGACAACCGAACAGACACCGACCACACCTACGACAAAAGAACCGACACCAACTTCTCCCTCGACAACCGAACAGACACCGACCACACCTACGACAAAAGAACCGACAACAACTTCACCCTCGACAACCGAACAGACACCGACCACACCTACGACAAAAGAACCGACAACAACTTCACCCTCGACAACCGAACAGACACCGACCACACCTACGACAAAAGAACCGACAACAACTTCACCCTCGACAACCGAACAGACACCGACCACACCTAAGACAACAGAACCGACCACAACATCACCCTCGACAACCGAACAGACACCAACCACACCTACGACAACTGAACCGAAAACTTCGCCCTCAACAACCGAACAGACACCGACCATACCTACGACAACTGAACCGACAACAACTTTACCCTCGACAACCGAACAGACACCGACCACACCTACGACAACCGAACCGACAACAACTTCACCCTTGACAACAGAACCAACAACAACTTCACCCTCGACAACCGAACAGACGCCGACCACATCTACGACAACCGAACCGACAACAACAGCAAACACATCTGCAATAGCCATACTAACGTCAACACCCCTACTCTCCACAGCAACCACACCCGCAATAACAACAATTACTACAACAACATCCAAGACAACTACCTCACCTACAACAGCGACATCATCTCACACAACCACACCTATAACAACAACCACATCTACCACAACCACACCCAGGACAACAACCACACACACACCAACATCACCTCTAACAGCCACAACTACGACAATAACCACACCTACAAGAACATCACCCACCAGACGACGTTCGACTAGGACTAACCCTGCCACAAAAACCAAAACCAGCAGAAAACCAAGAAGAACGACTACCACTTCGCCTACCACACAAACGACACCTACTAGCAGCTTCAATTGTTTCGACTGCAGTGGTTTGATTTTCAAAGATCTTTGCCCTATGAAGGCAGAAATCCAGCTCTTTACCAAGCTGACCCCATGTCGTGGGCCCTGCATGTCCACCTTTTCCCCCACCCTGCTTGGCACTTGTGAGTACTTTTTTCTTATACCAAAGTTTATCAAAAGTCCCTAGATTAAAATAAAGGTAAACATATTTAAAAACAATTAAATTAAAAATAATTTCAGTTTGTTTTGTACTTTTAACAATTAAGATATTAATTATACATTAAAATGGAAATAAAAGAAGGCATTAAATATAAGCCAACCATTTTTATTTTTTGGATCATATTGATCATGTAGGCTACATGTTTCAGTGCAAATAAAACGATTGTCCATTTAGACACATTTTTTATTAACTGAACACATTTAATTTTTATTAAAAAAGTTATTGTTTTTAAACTACTTAAAAGTAGTTGGAACTTTAAAACGTGTCAAACATTATATTAAGAAGCAAATTAACTCATCGTTTATGTAATTTTAGACTGCATTTATTAAAATTTGATTTACAAAAAGAAAATCTCATCAATATTCTATACAATTCTTAATTCTAATTCAAACTAAAAGTATTACATTCGATTGTATACCGATTGTATACCAGTATTAACAGGGTATGCTTATTTATGAATTACTTGAAATTGTAATGTTATGTTGACAATATTGAGTTACGAAAGTTACTCTACATAATACTTATTTATTACCCATTGTTTATGATCTATCTCGGTTTTTGAGATTTGTAAACAAAGATCGTGAACATCAGCTCATTTTACTGAACGCTAGCACCTTTTTTTCATTCATTTTTATAGGTTATAGAATTATCTTCAGTGTTTCAAAGAAAGAAACTACTAAAGTTGAATCAGGTCGAAATTGAATACAATATTTGACCTCGTGAATAAATACACAGCCACTGTGACTTAAAAATATACTAACAACCAAATTTCGTTTTTATTTCCTATTTACCAGATGTGGTCCGTGGATGTTCAGACGGCAAGTTCCCAGGTCTACGTATCCCAGCCAATGGCTGCCTGACTTACAAGAAGGAAGTCACGTGCTTTTGTACTGGTGACCGCTGTAACACTAGAAACATGGTGCAGGAGCAGAGCAGAAAGGGAGAGGAACGTCACGAGAAGAATTCAAAGCGCAGAAAATACATTTGATATTGTGACAACTTATAAGTGTTAAGATAAGCGCACACGGAAAATGTGTAAAAAACTAAATACAAATAATAAACATATCAGCTAACCATTCATTACTTGTGTTAAATCGTATACTAAGAAAACAAAAGTATCCAACATATTTTCTAAAATTAAAACACAATTAAATGAAATGTTTAAACACACTTAATTTAAATCAATGACCTCAGTTATTAATTTAGAAAATAGCTGAAATAGTCGATTATGAAATTAATTAACACATTATTATTTTTAAATAACAATTCATTATCATGGCTACATGATTATTTCAACACATAGTAATGAGAATAATAATGCAAATATTCACGGCTATAGGACAAAACAATGTCTAATTAACAATCGGGGCACGTTAGGTTCATTGTAAATGCAGACATACACCTCGACACCGACTGTTACCAATGTAATGTCAACTAAAACACATGTCTTAGAATATTTACACAAACAAAACCTGCACAACCTCGCGTCAGATGAAACGAAATGTTTAGTGCAGCAAAATATAATTTAGTCAGGACACAACCTAGCTACGGTGTCTAGACAAACACCAGCAAAAATCAAGAAATGTTTTTATTTTACGTCAACATACTTCCGCGTCATAAACACAGACGTACAGCTCACTTTGGTACAGCCTTTTCGACATATTAACATATTTTTAAAATGTCGTTGATGATTAAGTAAAACGTTTTTTTTCTGCATTAATTTTTACGATTAAAGCTCCGCAATGCTTAACAACAATTTAAGCAAGAATTAATACATTTGGAAATGTTAAACAAAATGCTTAGTCTAGTATTGATTCAACAAATTGAAAGATAATATATAGATAAGGGCTAAAAAGTGACCGTGAGAAAAATTCACCTTAAATGAGCTATATACCGAGATGTTTTTTTGCCGAAACCCCCCTCACCCCAACCCTGATATTTCGTGAGCTTGCAGACCAATGACCATGAATGCCAGAAATAACGTGTCATATGTCATTTCTGGGAAAAGTGACCGTGAGTGAAATTTGTCTTATATGTGCTATACATCGAAAAACAAATTGCTCGACGACCTCATATGCCGCTTCGCGAGGTCGTAGACCGACCCTGGGGGGAAAAAAAAATGTCTGCCCGTCGGGAAAATCGTTGAGGACCATTAGATCCGACCATATGCTGTATTTTCTTATATTAACTTAGCAATGTTTGGTGAAAAAAAGTAAACAAAGACGACGTCATTCGGTCTATGCAGAAGGGAGGTAACTTTCTAAAATAATAATTTGTTTAACGACTTTATACTATTTTAAGCACACAATATGACACAATTTAGCATTCGTTTGAGTTAGAATTTCATTAAAGTATGTATCCCAATAAAATTGTAGAAATGAACTTAAAAAATAAATATAATATAAATTATACTAGTTATAATATTAAGTGAGTCTCAGTAGTTCTAATTACCTTGCAAATAATAATTTTGGTAATACATTTTTGTTTTTACAAGCTTTTATTTAAAAATTAAACTACTGTTTAAACTTAAGCATTCCACATAACATCTAATAACCAATTAATTAAGCTTCCAAATTATCATTTTTAAAAAAAAATCTATGCGAAGCTCGGAAGTATGCCTATTCGATTATAGTTCGGCTTCAGTAGCTCAATAGATTATTTTTTGCTTCAGTAGCTCAAAAGATTATATTTTTGCTTTAGTAACTCAACAGATTTATAGTTGTGCTTTTAGTGAAATAAATGTTAATATACAACGAACATTTTATTACACAACAAAAACATAATCTCTTGACAAATTTCATTTTGCAAAACAAAGATTTAATTGTAGTCAAATTAATTTCCTTTTGATTCAATTTAACATTTTAAAAAATGAAATAAATTGCCAAAAAGTGAAGAATTTACGTACTTATGCAAGATAAAGTCTTTTAAATTTATTCCTCGTGTAATTAAACGCCACACGTTAGTTAAAAAAAGCACAACAGGTAATGTATTATCTTGTTATAACATTTGGAAGAAAATTAGCATTTTGTTCATTGGTCAAATAAAAACAGTTGTAGAGACAGAGGCGTTGTCTGTCTCATAGATTTTTTGGTAGTTTTGCTGTTACAGATATATTAATGTGCAATTATGACTATTACAAATATAGATATCGTTAATAGAGAAGAAAAACTCTACGATTTGGAAAAAAAAAATTTTAACATCAATACAAACATTGAGATTTAAGAAAAAAAGATGCGCATATAATATAAACAACTAAAAAATTAACTTTGATTTTTTTTTAAATTAACCCACAACTAAAACAGTAGCTTAGATTGTTTTGCAATAAACTAAATTTTAATTTTTTTTTTAGAAATTTCTAAATTCTTAAAATCTACAAATGAATCTTCATTGGGTTATTTTTTACTGTTATAAAACTACCATCAAAATTTTCGTAAGCTTAACCTAGACAATAAAACTAGTTTTGTAGCTATTTGATATTTCCAAACTAAATGTAAGAAAACAAGATTAGGGACACATTAACTCCGCATATGAATAAGTGAAAAATGTGTCTGGTTAAACACATTTTCACGAAAACAGCTGTATTTTCCTCTGAAAGACACGCCTTTGTTTTGTCTATAAAAAAGAAAACAAAGCTCAAAGTCAGACGTTTGTGTGAACCAGAGTTTCTTCCAGGCATCTCTTCGGGGGGGCGAAGCCCCCCCGAAAAATTTTTACCGCCCCCCTGAACGAAATGAAATTTATATAATTTATATAGAAAATATATACTTTTAACAGTGTCCGCCCCCCCGAAGAAAGTTTACCGCCCCCCCCGAAGATTTCAAGTGCCCCCCCGGAGAAAAAAGTCTGGAAGAAACACTGGTGTGAACTAGTTTGAGGCCTGAACAGCGTCACAATCTGTCAATGATGAGGCTAGTAAATTTACTTGCATACTTAGTGATTTGGATAGGTAATTATTAGTGGGTTTTTTTTTGTTTTACAATATGTACAATTAGTTGGACGCATAATTTTAAAAAAAATAACAACTTATTTTCAGAAAAGAGTAAACTGATTTCCAAGTAGCAGTACTATGAAATCACGCTATTAAAGTTCTTGCATAATGTAATGTAAACAGATGTAAACAGATTAACAAAAAATAGTTATATATAACTTGTATGTGTAATTAAAGATATATTTTGCTATAGTTACAGCATCGGACTATGTTTGTAGATCAGAAGCGATTGGTAAGTAGCAAATAGAAACAGTTCTCTTTTCCTCTCTTAGCTCACTCTCTAGCACTCACTTATATATATATATATATATATATATATATATATATATATATATATATATATATATATATATATATATATATATATATATATATATATATATATATATATATAAACGTAAACCTGTTTTAATCGAAACTACATGAGTTTCTAAATTATTTTTTCTGTTTCTTTTATTTCTACACTAAATCTTATGCGTTGTTCAAACTGTAATTAAATATAAAACCTGCAACACTAATAACTATATCGCCATTTACATTCTTTGATGTTTATATTATGTCTAAACCACTTAGTGGTATTTGCAATTAAAAAAAAAATACCAGCCAAACACCTATTACTTGTATTGCTATATCTTAAAGACCTGCCATCAAAGAGTACACCAGTTAATGTTTACTGCGGCATATGAAGGAATTATATGGTAAGTTTTTTGCTCGGCCGCGTGTAGTAAGTCAAGTACCCATTAGAGCTGTCCGGACTCAAGGAAGTCCTACGGTCTCGACCTCCGGGGACTAAACTCAAGAACTTTGTTTACTCTACCATCAGACCCCGCCGTTCCACAAACCCAACGTAACCTTTTATATTTTCTACAGCACGACATTGTGAACCATCAAGCAGTTCGAATCTTGGTTATACGTATGGAATTTCCGCACAGGTGAATATCGAATCAGCAAAAAAATATACTATTCATCCCCATACACAAATACATGCACAAGCACACACACATACACAAGCTTACACATACCAAAATACACATGCACACTTACACACAAAAGAGCGCATAAACACAAACACGAATATAAAGACAAAAACAAACCTGTTTTTCAATTGAAATAAAACTCTTACATTTATTTATTTACTTAATGTCTTTTTAGGGTTGTTTCGACGCATGCGTTTCTGACCCAGCGTGCCTCGCTTATACTTATGACGTAGTATGCTACCACGAACTTGCAAACCAACTCCTAGTCAGCACGGATACTATATTTGGAGACGCTTTCCTCTTTTGCAATCGTAGTGAGTGTTACGGGTCATTTGGAGGTTAGATTAGAATATAAAAAGGTGTGTGAACGACTGTTTGGGATCTGTAAGTGGTTTGGTAGTTGGTGGAGATAAAGATAGCGTTAGGGAGGCGGATTTCAAGAATGTAAAGGAGAGGAATAAACACGTTAGAAACTGTTTGTTGAGAGCGTTGTGTTTTGGTGCACTTTGGCCAGTGTGCATAGAATAAAAGCCGACTTCATCAATTGGTGGCCGATAAATGAAATGCTTGAAGGAATGAACTAATGAACTAATAAATAAAGGAATTAATGAAATAGTTATAAATATTTTGATATAAACAGTTAAAGAGTGTTGTAAAGCATCGTCGAATGAAGACGAACGCAGAATATCAAACGCAAACAGTCACGCAGTAAGTACAACAGTAAATCGTAACAAATGGCTTGCCATTTTATTATATGATAACTCTATTGTTGTGTTTTACCCGAGTTAACGTATTGTTTAATAAAACATAAGCATTGAAGGAAAATGTAATAGATTAAAGGGGCTGCCGCGTTTAGACATTTATTTAAATTTAGAAAAAGTGAGACTTAAACAATCAAATAATTTTTTGAAAATTTTGTTAGTTTTCTTACGCGGTTTATGTTCATTTGATTACACTTTATTTTATTTTTTATTTTATTTTTTTACTAAACAACCACATTTCGATTATTATTTGTTATTTTTAATTTATAGTTTTCTA